ATAGCTATTGCCTACAATTTAAGGCCTTATTTAATTACTTCCTTAATAAGTATATTATAATTATACTAGGTACTACAATAGGTTAGGTACTAGTACTAACAGTTTAATGTTAAATTTTAGTAGAGTGGAATTACTTATCTATCATAATAAACAAATTAAAAATAAATGGTTTAAAAAAAAATTATATAAGTTTCTTTTATTGAAAAATTAATCATAATAAAAGTTTACAAATAGAAAAACTGGAATTACTGACAACATTAAATTCACTGGCCCAACTAATATGGGACGGGGCTCGTAATTTATATTTAAATTTGATTAGGTAACAATTAGGCAAACAATATTTTTTCTTACTACCTCGGCTGAAAATACGTTGTTTCGTCCCCGATTCCACGGCAGAAAGTTTACGTTTGATGCATTGGTCAAGCTATACGTATTTTCGGCCGAGGTAGTAAGAAAATGTAATTTTCTTACTACCTCGGCTGAAAATACGTTGTTTCGTCCCCGATTCCACCTCCACCGCCCTCTATAATATCGCTCGTGCCGCAAATGTCGGGGCAGGCATCAATATGTTTCGATATACACATTTAATTTTTTCCCGTATTTTCGGCCGGGTAGCAAGAAAAATAGTATACACTACACGGGTAGAAAGTGTGAGAGCCCTGCAGGGCTTCGCCTCGGGCATCATGGCGTGCAGTGCAGGAATCTCACACTTTCTGCCCTTGTAGTGTAATATACTATTTTTTAATTATTTGTTTTCCTTGTACTAGTGCGGTCCACAATGACATGCCCTCAAATATTTTGAACGAAAAGAATTACAAGTTACTGCTTTTTAAGTTTAAGTTTTATATTTGTGTTTTAAATTAATTATCTCGACAGCTTATAAGCTGTATTAAAAATTGCCACTTAATTTTTTTGTCCGACACCCGGTTTTTGAATATAAAAACTAAAAAGCATTTATTTACATGTCGCTCTGCGTTTATGACTTGAATAAAGGAGTATTCAGTAGACCAGAAACATTGTTTTTAAAATAACAAAATTACAAAATAAAATTTACCCAAATTCCAATAATGATATTTATTTACTCGATATAATAAATATAATATAATATAATAAAAACTAAATTGAAATTACAGACATCTTTGTTTACCACTTCTTAAAAAAATCTTACAATGTCTATTATAAAAAAAAGAAAGTAGGTTAGTTGTTGAAATTGTCCACCACCTGTTAGTAGGCATTTATTAACCCTTCTCGTAATGAATCATGTACTGTTGAAAGAATTCCTGGAGTATTTTTGTTATAGTTTTGCTTGATAATCGTTTAAAAAAATGTTAACAAAAAGACTATAAATCTGATCGAATAAAAAAAATAATATTAAAGTAAAAATTTAAAAGAATCTTTTTATTTATCTAGGTGTATCTAGGAACCTCCCCCAAAATTTTTAGTGGCGTATGATACATTTTTAAACCTCTTAACAATTGTTTTAGCGTTTTCAAAATTTTAAAATTTGGGTGAGTGCTTGAATTTATTATTTCAAGATTTTATTAGTTTCAGTAATTACAATTCATTTCAAGAGTTTCAAGTCTATAGATTTCATTAATCGTGTTTGTTTTGACTTTTTCTTTTCTTTTTGACATTTTGGTATCATGTTCAATAAAAAAGTATACCTGACAGCTTTTGGTTTGGTGGTTACAATTTTAACACGAGTGCCGATTAATAAACATAAATCTTAAAATGTTGTCGATTAGATACATATACATACATATTATGTAAATAAAAAAAATTCATGATTAGATATAACTTTTTCTAGTCAGCCCAAAAATTAAATTTTAAAGGACAAAATTACAGTTGAGGTTTAAGTGATGCCGCGAGACGAGACGAGGCAAGAAAAGTCCTTCTCTCGTCTCGGGCAGCGAGAGAAAATGGGTCTCTCGTCTCGTCGATAATACTCTTTTCTCGCTCGAGAGTGCCTTTCTCTCGTCTCGTCTAGTTTCTCTCGTGGTAAAAGTAGCTATGTATGAATACAAAAATTACTTGGAATAAAATACGAATTCCTTTATATTTTTTTCTATAGAAATTTAAACTGGAAATAAAAAAATGTGTGCCAAGACCACACTGATAAAGTAAGACTTTTTACGCCGAAAATGTCGAGCATTTGATGTCCGTCATTGCATCCGCAATTTTGTCATATTGGATCAGCCATTTTATTTTTTGAAGAAATGGATAACAAATTTGTAATCAGCCCCTCAAAAACCACATGTTGTTGATAAGTTTATTGAATAAGCATACGGTTTTTTTAATAGTATAAGGAGTGCCATAGATGTGCTTATACAGGGCAAATTTTAAAAATTATTATTATAATTTTATAAGTATTTCTTTCTTGGTTAATGTTAAGTTGTGTCCATTTAATTTGACCAGAAAAACGTTTTGACGATCTCCGAATTGGCAAGATTTGAAATTTAGACGTCGGAAATCTTAAAATCGATTTAATATTTTGAGAAAATCGCAAAAATTTGAAATAATCGAGAGAACGAGAGAGATCGAGGGAAACGAGAAATTCTCGAGCGAGAGAGGACATTCTCTCGTCTCGTTTCGAGCCTTTTTTCGAGAGAAAATCGCCCTCTCGTCTCGTCTCGAGCCTTTTTTCGAGAGAAAATCGCCCTCTCGCCTCGTCTCGAGCCTTTTTTCGAGAGAAAATCGCCCTCTCGTCTCGTCGAGGCGAGACGAGACGAGACGAGAGGCGAGAATCTCTTGTTTCGGCGGCTAATTGCGTCGATATAAATAACTCTTATTTTTGCTTCTCTGCTTTCTTATAAAATTCGTAATAAGGCCAATGACATCTGCAAACAGCCCTGTTACAGTAGTGCATGGTCGGCTTTTTTATTTGTTTGCCTTTTGACTTCCGCTGCGTGTATCATGATCTTGTTTATGTTTAGAACAGTAAGTGCATTAAAATTAACTTCCGGCGCGCGGGTTCTGATTATGTTTAAATGGTAAGTGTATTAAGAACCAACTAAAATGTTAAAATAAAATACCAAGTATGGAATACGGCATACTCCGCTCGAGTGAAAAGTTTGTCAAACAAGCCGAAGGCGAGATTGACGGTTTGACGAGAGCTGAATATGCAATCCAAATGTGTTTCAGACTATACTTTTATACATGCCCAAAAAATACCAAAAAAATAATTTAATTGGGAAAAAGTGACGTTGTTCCCGTTTTTAAGGGGAAGCTGGCTACTCTCTACCTTTTGCGCACGTGCAGTTCAAAAGTGGAAGATTAAAAAATCAATAATGTTTGTTGGTTATGAATAAATACAAATGTCAGTTTAGGAATTTAGGTTAGGTTTTTCTGTAAAAGTTATTATATTTTTGATCAAGAATTGGGAATGATATAATTGTATGGGATTTGAAATTGTATTGTACTGTGTGGATGCTGCTTCACAGAACTTAAGCTGCTTGTATTAATTCAAATATGTAGTTATAACTTTATTTCAAATCAAATATTTAAACTATTAGAATAATTTAAATGTTTCGAATAGTTTAAATAAAATAGAAAACGTTTAAGAATAAAACTTGTTCACAAACGAAAAACACTTGCCTAATCTAAATATAAAAAATCCAAACCCTAAATGAACAAAATTATTCTAAATTAAATTTAGGAGTACAATCTATATAAATATTTATGTAAAACATTCCAAAACAGAAATAAATAACTAAAAATCGTAAAAGCTCAAAACAAAGTAAACAATAAAAACAAAGCCAAACAGTAAACCAAAAATGCTACTTCGCCCACTAGTATGGTAGTAATCTGTTTTTACATGTAACAGTGCACTGTTATCTGTTTTTATACTGTTATACTATATATTTCTTGCGGCAGTTGAATAAAATATTGTGAAAGAATCTTCTCTTTCTGCCACCAGTGGCAAAATACATCTTTTTTTTGTAACCCACTGTTACTCGAAAACCCGTAGAAAAAATATTTTATAAGGAGCTAAAGTGTCACTTTTTATGACGAGTCTGTAGGGTTTGACGGACAAGTCTGCGAGTCCGGCAAATACAGACGAGCCACAAAAAGTCAATTTACTTCGTATAAAATATACTATTTCTTTTCAAACGTCCAAATTAATAAATAATGAGAAGCAATAAATAAATGATTTTCAAAAATAATTTGATTAAAATCTGACAATTGTCATAAAAACAGTAAAATAAGTACTATCGCTAACAAAAAAAACTCATACAGCTTAAAAATCTAGTGTTCCTGATTTTCTATCATTTCGTTGGAGTAATTATGGCTTTTAACATGATACGTCAAATTTGAAAGGTCTAAAATTAAATACAAAGTTAGGTTGAAGTTTGAAAAAAAAATAATATTTCGTCATCTCTCGTCGCCGTCTTGCTTTATCTCGTTCCAAATGGCTTCAATGGCTTTCCAGAGTTTATCTGCATTGTTTGGTTGAAAATGTTGTTAGAAAAGTCATAATAGATGTGACAAAGCTCGATGTCAGCTTGACATTGACGGAAAAGTTTTATTCACACAGCCACAATATAGCTGTATGAGTTTTTTTTTGTTAGCGATAGTAGGTAGTAGAGAGTGTTACCGTGGTATAACCTTTGAGCTGTTGTAAATTGGCTGTAAAAGTAATTTACTGCCATGGCAATGAAGTAAAACTTTAAAATTCTTGAAATTTTCAGAATGTCATTTTACTGACATTTAAAAAATACAATTTTTACTACCAAGTGCAGTTTGACAAGTCTAAACTTCTTTAAAATAACATTATTCAATCCTTATCATTAAGCATTTTAAAATTTATTTTTAGGAAATTACAAATGAAATGTATGTTTAAATTTTAAATCCATAATCGAAATAATTTGATTTTTAAAGCTTTTGAAATCCTTTAACTAAAAAATATATTTGTTTTTTTTATAAATAGTATTTCATATGTATTTTTTATAAAACAAAATTTTTCATTTGCACTGGCATTCATTCACATATGTTATTTTTAGGTCAGGATTACAATTTTAACAAGCTTAACGAAGAGGAAGTGAACTCTTTGGGACTGACATACGATTACGATTCTATAATGCACTATGCACGTAACACTTTCTCGAAGGGAACCTACTTAGACACAATTCAACCAGTGGACGTACTGGGCCGGAAAAGGCCTGAGATTGGCCAGAGAATAAAGCTCAGCGAGGGAGATATTGCCCAGACTAATTTGCTTTACAAGTGTCCCCGTAAGTGTATTATCCTGACAGAAATTGAGTCCATAATTAAAATGCAATATTTAATAGATAATTTAAATGTTCTTAACTTTACACAATTACATCCCATAAAATTTTAAGGGTTCCAAGAAAACTTAACTTACTTAGCAAAGGAACGAAGATTGAGTCAAAACATTTATTTACAACTACAACTAATAACTTTAAATTTAATAAAAGTGTTTCATTATACGTTTTCTATAATTTACTTAAAATGGCAATAGCTACAAGTTTTTAATTTGTTTCTAATAACATTTCACATTCAGGAGGAATGTGGTTTGACTTTTATTAATTTTCTTGACTAAATTTTGAATTGGCATCGCGATAACTATTTAAAAACCTAAACAACATAAAAAAATAACCTAACCACATAAAGGGTGTTTTTTAAGACTGATTGAACTTTTAATAGATGTATTTCCAAATACCATTTATAACAGTATTAACATTTTTGACAAATTTCAAGTGATGTTGGACAAATCATTTTAAACAGATATTTAAAACGCGTAGAATATAAATTTGTATGGTAACTTTATCAAAAATGAGGCCTTAACTATTCCCCACCACAGGTTGGAAATGACAAAGCAAGGAATAGCTTACTGGGGTCCAATATTCTACAATCCATTATCAGCAGAATTAAAAAAACTGAACCCAAATACTTTTAAAAAATCCATACGGAGCCTCCTGTTAGCAAATTCTATCTATCCAATTGATGTTTGCGATTATAACCTTTTACTTGGTATACTCGTATTTATTTTTAATTTATATGCGTTTGTTTGTATTTTATATTTTTTTCTGTATTCTTTATACGTATATAACACTTTGTACCTGACGATTTTGTAACTATTTAGTGACAAATAAATTTATATCTATCTATCTATCTATATATCTAACTATCTATCTATCTATCTATCTATCTATCTATCTATCTATCTATCTATCGCAAATGAAAAGAGATCGTGCGATTTGTCGCCACTCGATTAATTCCTGTGAGACTTTTTAAAGTATTTGGTATTACTGATAAGTGACAAACTAATCAGAACTCTGAAGCCAATATTTGGCAGATTATTGGTGAGATAAAGCCCCAAATGCTCGAAATTAATTTAAAATAGGACCTTTGAGTGACTAAAATCGTGTTTAAAACATAATGAACCATAATGGACCATTCTTATGAAAATTAAGATTATAATTTGTCCTGTCTTGTCCAATAAAAATAAAATATGACATTATATAGCAATAAAATACATTTTAATAAAATTCATGATAGTAATTTTATTTTAAAGAGTAATTTAAACAGCAAAGGAATTAAGTTTAAATAAATAATCTTAATTTTTCAAAAGAATTCACCATCAGTAATACACAGCAAACGGAAAATTATAGAAGTGTATAGGATGACTCCGCGTTTGAATATCAAATCTTAAAGTTTTATCATAACTGTATTGAATCGTGCTTTGTTTTTATATTTTTCGGCTCTATACCTATGCACGACTATATTTAAAGTCAAACTCAATGGTGTCTTACAAGATACATTATTTTGATTTTCTATATTCAACAGAGAGGTAGAAACTCGACCCTTTTGAATGGTGCAGTCATTTATGTCTCTAGAAATTATTAAAAAAGGGTTCAGTCCAATGGTACAGCAACTTCGGATTCCTATTCTCCTCGCAGACATAGAAACTCAAGCTTTTCGAATTTTACTGGCAATGATTTTCGTTAATGTCCCCGAGAATTATACAAAAACAGCGCAATGCAATATCGCAACGGTTTCGACTTCTCTTTACTCTACCAAGTTATAGAAACTGGAGTCTCTCTAATACTGTTCTAGTCAATATTTCTGAGAGTATAAAAAGAGGGTGTAATATTGCAAGAAGTTTTGATCTTTTAATGGATGCAAGTAGTTTGAATTTTCTCATTTCTGCATATGATTTTGTTGAAAATAGTTCCTTTCTTTGGTTCCTTTGTCGGATTTTTATTTACCGTAACAACTCAGGTATGTAAAGCACAGAGGATATGATGTTAAGTATATTTATGAATATAAATTTCAGAGGTTATGTTGAAAAAATGATCAATATGCATATATGCTATTAAACTTTAATAATTTAGTAATGAGGTCTGTCGGTAGATCCTGCACTATCTCCACTGGTATATGTTAGTACAGCAATATTTAAATCTGGTTGATGAAAAAGTACACACCAGTGCAGGTTATTGTAGCATCTACGAACAAATGAATTAATGGCCCATTGGCAATTATTCCTTTAAGAAAAATATTCAACACAGCTTAATTAATTAATAAAATGAAAAAAATCACAATCATGTCGTATATAGTTTTAAATTAATACTAGTTCAAAAGTGAAATTACGACCTATATACTGTGGAGAGTATTGAAACGCTCGACTGACGAATACAACTCTATATCGTGGGGAGATTTAGAAAACGATATTCAAACGTGGCGTCATCCTATACACTTCTATAATTTTCCGTTTGCTGTGTACCAAATACTTTAAAAAGTTTCACAGGAATTAATCGAGTGGAGACAAATCGCTCGATCTTTCTTAATAATAATTATTAATAAAGCAATTTATTTTAGAATGTGGAAGAACTTTCCAAATGAACTCGGCAAACTTCTCGCCACCAGTTTACAGTGATAATTATCCAGAAGAAGGAATTCATTGTGAATGGAGAATAACTGCAACTCATGGAGAAAAAATTGTTTTGAACATCACTGGATTGGACATAAAAAAGTCGCCGAGCTGCAAGACTGACTACATAGAAATCAGAGATGGTTACTGGCACAAATCTCCCGTTTTAGGTCTTTTTTGTGGTACTGGACAGTTTAACATGATAACGTCGACTGGAAGTCGAATGCTTATTACTTATATTGCCAAAAATCCAAAAGGACACAAAGGATTCCAAGCTAGTTATGAAGGTATAGTATTTATAAAAAAAGAACAGACAACCAACAAATTTTATCTTAAATACCTTTTTAAACGATGAAAATTTTAAAGAATACGTCATAAATATGTACTTAAAAATTTAAAAGTTGGGTTTAATCCATACATTTCTGTAATTGAAATTAGCCGACGCCATATAGTTTTACATTTTTTTCGACGTTTTTCTTTTGGTTATTTTTTTAAGGAGTATAATACAACTACTACAATATTCATTATAAAAATTTAAAAAAATTATGTAAACTAAACAAATAGTACAAACAGTGCTAAGTTTTAAAACAATTAAATTTCATCTGGTAAAATGTTTTGCAATTCTTCAAAAAATCCATTCGCAGTTTTGGAATATTTTATGGTTTCGAGCAAAATCTTCGAAGGTTCCTAACATGTTCAACACATGTTTCTATCGATCGGTTTTAGATCTTACCTGGGTGCCAGAAACTCCATTTTATGTTTCATATATCCAAAAATACCTTTTAGATATGGTAATATCATGTGGGCAAGAATTGTAATGCATGCTCGTAATTATAAAGGGTGTACCATGATGACCTACACCGCGCATAGCTATCAACCAATGCTGACTGGGTAGATTATAATACATAAAAATTGTGTTCATGAGCTTACTACTGAGTAGGTGCAAATGATTTTTGGCGTGCCATACCAAGTTTCTCCTTGTGTATTTAGTCTTCTTAATGCGGAGCCACCATTAACTATGCATTAAGTTCAAGGCGACCAGTCTTTGTGACACATTTAAGTATTAATATACAAAAATGTTATAAAGTTAAAAATGGAAACAAATAAAGAAAATTTTGAGATTCCCTAAAAATTGGTAAAACATTTAACTGCTCATTTCAACTACTGACTGAGTCAATCCAAATGAAAACACCAAAAATAAATTTAAAAGTGCGCTGCATGATTTTTTATTTTAATGAAAAATTTGAGAATGATCTTTTAGGTAAATATCAAAAACCGCTGCCGTTTTAATTTTTAATTGCTTTATTTTTAATCGGCCCCCTTTAGAAACCTGAAATCGTGTCATTTTCTTACTCTATTATAAGAGGCTAAAACTTTTTTTCTGTGGCAATTATTGAAATGATTGTAATTTTATTTTACTGCCTAGTAAGTATATTTTCAATATTAATTATTATTATCTAATTAGTTCATCTTATAAAAGAATGGTAAACCCTAAAGATTTGTAATAATTTGCCAATTTTTGTGATTTTTGTATGGCTCCTGTGCCTATTCTACTAAATTTCGAAAGTTATTTTCTAGATTTAGTAGAATAGGCACAGGAGCCATACAAAAATCAACCCCATTTGGTGTTTTTATTTGGAATGACTCGAGTTCAAAGATTTGAGAATGATCTTTTAGGTAAATATCAAAAACCGCTGCCGTTTTAATTTTTAATTGCTTTATTTTTAATCGGCCCCCTTTAGAAACCTGAAATCGTGTCATTTTCTTACTCTATTATAAGAGGCTAAAACTTTTTTTCTGTGGCAATTATTGAAATGATTGTAATTTTATTTTACTGCCTAGTAAGTATATTTTCAATATTAATTATTATTATCTAATTAGTTCATCTTATAAAAGAATGGTAAACCCTAAAGATTTGTAATAATTTGCCAATTTTTGTGATTTTTGTATGGCTCCTGTGCCTATTCTACTAAATTTCGAAAGTTATTTTCTAGATTTAGTAGAATAGGCACAGGAGCCATACAAAAATCAACCCCATTTGGTGTTTTTATTTGGAATGACTCGAGTTCAAAGATTCAGCCATAAGTGCATTTGCCTAAGATTTATAGCCTTTTTAAACAAGGTTTGTAGGCGACAAGTTTTTTTTTGTTTGAAGATTTAACCTTCTTAAGTCAATTAATTAAATGTACTTATCAGTTTCTATAGGAGTACCTGGTCCCACTTGTTATTTCCACGATTTTCTTGATATATGCGTATAACTCGCAGGGGATAACAGCCACTTATCCACTTATCCGTAATAATTTCACACTATGGTTACTGCACTTATTTAAGTGATTGTGCCATATATTTTATGGTCGGTTTCAAGTCTGATCTGTTTGAAACTACGAGCTATACTGCCGCATGAGGTAATATATTAATAAAAATAAAAAAGAATATAAAAAGCAACTTTATTTAAGCCAAAAACTTCTCAGTGGTCATTGGCCAATTGGGCGACCGATAAAAATGAATATTAAGCTATCAATTTTATATTAAAAAAATATACTGAAAAGTATAAATTCCTATTGGGTGAAACCACCATTGATCTCTATACCATTTAAAATTTTTTTAGACATAGAATGAAATAAATTTTGCTATAGTATTTTTTTCCAGTTTATTCCACTTATTATGAATGGCATTTTTTTCTTGGTCTTATATTTGTATTATTTTACAAGATATACCATAACATTTTTGATTGGCTTTAAATTGAGGCTTCTTCACAGCCAAGAAAGCATTTTTACGTAATTGTCTTTGAACCAATTACGAACCACATAAAAAGTTTTACAAAAATTTAAAACGTTTCTTGATATTAATCATGCGCTCTGATTGCTATATCATGCTTAATTTTGAAAACTGATAATAAAAACCTTTTGAGAATTTCTTAAGAAATTCGTGGTTTTTCGGTAACAAACAAACTTAATAAAATTTTAACTGTTCCTTTTTTATATCCAGGAGTCTAATTTGAAAAATTTCAATAAAATATTTTAGCTGTTTGCGGTGGAGATCTTAAAATTGACTCAAAAGGTCATTTGGAATCTCCAAATTACCCAGAAGAATATCATCCGAATAAAGAATGTATATGGAGAATTACAGTACCAGAAAGCTACCAAGTGGCACTAAAATTCCAATCTTTCGAAGTAGAAAATCATGATAATTGCGTTTACGATTACGTAGAAATTCGTGATGGATTAAGTAAAGACAGTTCTATTTTAAAGGTAATTAGTATTTTTACCATCACATTACTTTACTTATTATATTATGGTTTAAGGTTCATTGTGGATATAAAGTACCAGATAATATAATCTCTTCATCGAACGAGCTTATGGTAAAATTCGTGTCTGATGGTTCGGTTCAGAAAGCAGGATTTTCAGCTTTAATTATGAAAGAGTTTGATGAATGCTCGACAATTAACCACAGCTGTGAACAAGATTGTAAAAATACCATAGGGAGCTATGAGTGTACGTGTAGAATTGGTTATGAATTACATTCGGATGGAAAGAAATGCGAAGGTACCTACTTCAATCACCTTTTATAAACATTTAACATAATATGTTGTTTTTAGATGCATGCGGAGGTATTTTTAACAACGGCAATGGTACAATTACGTCCCCTTCATTTCCTGAATTGTACCCACTAAACAAAAACTGCGTTTGGGAAATTAGAGCGGCACCTCAGTACAGAATCACCCTCAACTTTACTCATTTTGATTTGGAAGGAAATAATGCCCAACAACAGCAATGCGACTACGACAGTGTAGAAATAGAGTCCTTGATACCAGATGATAGACACAAAAGTCACGGGGTGTTCTGCGGATCCAGACCACCGACTATTATAACATCTGAAGGAAATGTAATAAGGATTAGATTCAGTTCAGATAATAGCGTACAGAAAACGGGATTTGCTGCTGTTTATTTTACTGGTAATAATTGATTTATTTTGTCCATTTTTAATTACAATTTCAGTTCTTTTGAACTTTACTTAAAGTACAGTATCACCTTGTGGGTTATAAAATAACTTTAAATTAACCTTCAAATTGACATTTGACAGCCCTGATAGAATAAGGTTTATTTTTTACAAAAGAGGAGTAAAATGATTGTTCTTACCACTTTGAGGTCTCTTTTAAGGCTTTAAGTCTCTCTATAAGAAACACAACGTTTAAAACGATTATTAATCTGTACAAACCCAAAGCACAAGAATTGTAAACAACAAAAATGGCCGCCATCGTATGATGTGCAGTGTTGCAGTGATTTTTAGTATTTTTACTACGAGATCAAACAGATCTTGTTGTGTGGATTGTGCATATAACAAACACAGGAATTAAATTTTAAGAAATGTCAAATAAAGAAAAGTGTCAAAATCCTTAGTAACGTGTAAACAAGGTGATAAAAAATATTGTCGTTGTGATAAAATGCGAAACTATGGAATACTGGCATTTTATTGGTTATAATATTAATTAATTGTATTGTCGTTAAAACATACTTCTGTTAAAGATTTGTGTTAAGCTTATACCTGTGTTCCAAATTTATAAATCTGTAATTTGCAGTATCAAACGATCCTTCTAACTTACTTTCATCAACCTTTATAGCTACCAAATGAGATTCGCAACGTGGTTATTCTCGCGAGAACGGCTTAACCTTCTTTTTCCAAAACCTTTTTATTTATTTTTTAACCTCTAACCCTTTATAAAAGTTGCAACCAACAACTGTTTTTGACTCGTGCGGTATTGAATCTGAAACTATCCATCCAAATTTTGTTTGCACGAGTGCTGAACCTTTGTTGGTTAATTTAACTCATGACCACAACCAATGCAAATTTCTATCGTATTAGAAACGTGAAAATTATCATCTTTAAGAAAAATATTATTCGGTAACATTAAGCTATAGTTATAAAATAGGACTCAGACCCGCTATAAATAATTATTTATTATTATAATAATACGAGCAGATCTTATTTGGCCTAAAACCTTTAAAGTACAGCTATTAAATATTAGCTTAATGGTTGAACAAGTAATTGAAGCTGTAAATTAATTTGGTATGCTTGGCTTGAGTGGTTCTTGCTTAAAAATATGTTAAATTGGAATATGCATACCATTACAATGTTTCTATGAACTTGCCTTACACTCCCTCAGGAAGTGTCCACTGCGCAGACAATTAGAAACACATTGCACCTTTTTACCTTCATGATTTTTTCATTCACATTTAGCTCAGTGCATTTTGGGCAATTATAAAAGAATTTTTTTTTTTCAAATTAAATAATGATTTTCGTGATTTTTTATGATAAACTTAGGTTAATTAAACCTAATACGTATCACAAGCTACAGATGATTCGCTTGAGAAAACTCGAGAATCGCTAAATACTTGAACTGGAATACCCTTAAGAGACGACCGAAGGTACCTAAAATTATTGAATAGGTTTGTTCATTGCTGTACCATATTTATTTTACCATTTCATCAGAATAAACATGCTTTGTACGCTATTGGTTAATCGGCTACAAGAGTCCTCAAAAACTTCGTTTTCGTATCGAAATGGATAACAGCCAATTCCATCCCATTCGTAATATTAACGATCATGTTTTTATGTGCTGGATCGCTGTTGAAAAAATTAAGTGGGCTTTGGTAAACTCTTACAACTCATTTATTTTATATTTTTTACACTTATGACATTTTTTTGCATAACAACTTTTTGATATTCGTTATATCGCTAACTTTTTCTACGACGGTATAGATAGCAGTGTTTTTATTTAAATATATATAAATACAACAATATTTTTTAAATAATCTAATCCCCAATAGCGAATAACTCTTTCTACTAAGAGGGCAATATAAGTGAAATATGTTTAATCGTAAAATAATTCAATGCCTATTAAATTTTAGATATGGACGAATGTGCAGCTGGTGATAATGGAGGCTGTCAACACGAATGCCGAAATACATTAGGTTCTTACATATGCACATGTCATAATGGTTATACTTTACATGAAAATGGCAGAGATTGTAAGGAAGGTGGGTGTAAATACGAAATAAGCTCTCCATTTGGAACACTTGGAAGCCCAAACTATCCGGATTTGTATCCGCAAAGAAGGGATTGCGTCTGGCATTTTATAGCAACACCTGGCCAAAGAATCAGGCTTGCTTTTATAAAATTTGAAGTTGAATCGCATCAGGAATGTTCATATGATCATGTTGACTTTTATGATGGAGGTAAATAATATTTATATATGAATTACACATAATTTTCACTTATTTTTGGTTAAGGTTCTCCTGAAGCTCATTCTTTGGGCAGATTTTGCGGTTCCAAAGTTCCCCATCCAATAGTTTCAAGTGGAAACCAGCTGTACATGACTTTTAGATCTGATAATTCAGTGCAAAGAAAAGGATTTTCTGCTACACATGCGACTGTTTGTGGTGGTAAACTACAGGCTACTTTGGAGAAAAAACATATTTATTCGCATGCCCGATTTGGAAGCTCAAGTTACGATAATAAAGTAAGAAAACTGTCGCAAAAATCTTATATTCAAATAAATGTCACAGTAATAATTTTACAAATATTGCACAGCGTGTTCCAGAATGGTAAAAAAAATTATTTAGATTTATCTAGTTATTTCAATGTTTATATGGATGTTTTTTTATTTAACCTAAAGACCAACAGTTTGATTTATCCAATAGCCTTTAATCATTTAATCAAACTTATTTCAGTGTCGAACATATTTTTAAAAATGGCCTTGTTCGATTTCAGTTCTTTTTCTTAAATGAAAAATTACACATTTCAAACTCAGCACTCCTACTAATCAAGTTTCGAACTTCAACATATGTATTTTTTTAAATTTTTCAATTTTTTAAAACTCTTTCGAAATTGTAGCAAAAATTAAATAATTACAGAGCTAATATTAGTTTTTAGTAAGTAAAACCTAAATAAAACAAATTTTGAGATTATAATGACCCCATGCCCTTTAACATTTACATTAATGAGTCTTAATTAAAATTTTGTTAGTTTATCATATTTTACAAGCTTTATCAAAAAATCAGCTGAATAAAAAAAAACATAGGGGTCGATCATGAACTCAAAAAAAAAATCGTAAAATAGTCAAAATTATAACTTTTTTAGTTTAATTGCTATGCTCTCTATAGTAATTGTTTGTACACAAAAACTTGTTTAAGTTTCTCAAAGTTTCAGCATAAAATATAAATTTTTAAAGGTCACATAGTTTTATGACATCATGTGTACGCCCATTTTTCCTTGTATCTCTTAACAAGTGTCGGGCATTCACAAATGGTTTGCATTATAAAATATTAAATTTTATATAAAAATATAAAATAAAATCTACGCATTCTATAAATGCAGGTGTTACAAGATTGCCAACTTGTGAATTAGTAAACTATATAATAAATTATGTATCAAGTTTGATAAACGCCATTTTATACACGAATTTAATTTAGGCTCGAGTGAGCTTGCGAGCGAGTGCTTACATTAATGAGTGTATAGAAAAGTTTATAAACGAGGTGCACACTATACTTTTTCTACGACAAATACTTATTATTATCTTAAAATGATTTAAATCAAAAATTTGTATAGAGCGCCATCTATGAAACAATAGGGGAATCTGTGTGTCACCGTCAAATGTCAAATTTTTACATTTTATAAACACAATTATAAATGTATTTCTTGAAAATTGACAGTTTTTCAAGTAAAGAAAATGTTTTATGAGCACTTTACAGTGGAGTCCGTGCCCGAATTTAAGTTATAGTTTACTGCCGGCGAAATTAAAAGGTCAGTACAATGTTCATATAAACTTTTCAAATATTGGGGTATACTAGTATAATATACTATCATGAAGTCCCCACTTACCCCACTAAAAAGGTTATTTAAAAAATGTAATCTAGTTTTTTTTTAATTAATATACAAATGCAATTAATGAATGTTTTATTAAAAAAAACCAAAATTTTACAAAGACAAATCACGTTAAAATGACCTTCCAATTTCCATGCTGCTGATTTTTTTCAATTTTAACAGAATGATAGGGGACATTATCCATCACAATAACACTGTTCTTTTCTAATTTTGGTAAAACATTTTTTATCCAAGTCTCAAAAACATTTCCATTCATATCTTCATGATAATTCCCTGTTGACTTTGACTCAAATACTGTTAAGCCACCTTCCACAAACCCTGTTTCTGAACCAATTTGGGTGATAATAAGCCTTTTACCTTTGCCTGAAGGGTCTTTTAGTCCACTCGATAACCCCTCATTAAATGCTCTACCTCCCTCCCTCCCTTGCTGTCATTAGTGTACTAACTTCTACACCTTGGGCTTTGTGTGACCTGCATTGATCCAAGTCTCATCCATATTATATATTTTTTTGATCCTGTAATCGGTAACTCCTGATATTATTAATATATTTTCGTCTCCAAATTACTATTTCACTTTTTTCAACCAGTAAAAGATTCCTACACCTTTTTTCATACTTGGAGCCAAGTTTTTTTTAAATTCTCCATAAATTTTCTTTTTCGGCCTATAAAAAAAATTAAAAACAATTAGTTTATACACAAGACGTTTGTTTTAATAATAAAAACCTATTTATTTAAAGCAAAACCCATTTGACAGCACCTGGTATCCCTACCCTCTATTTTATTTATTATTTGCACTAAAGGAACATTTTTCTAATCAATTATTAAACATATTTCAATAACATAATTACTTCCATTACATTTTACTTATATTTGGTATTTCATTATTTATAAAAAAGTTATGAACAGAGATGCTTCTTTTGTTCCTCACTCAATTTGTCATATTGACTTGCCCGCTTTCTTTTCTTTAATGGGGACGTAGCCTTTCCGTCATGTTCCATTTGTTTGATGGTGAACCAAATGGTACTTTTTGAAATACCAGTTTCTTCAGATGTTAATATTACACTGGCACTTTTTGATTTTTCTTTATCGATATGATTTTTACCATATTAAAAAGTATTATTCTTTGACCTTGTCCTATAGTCCAGATTTGTTTTTTTACCACCGAGGGTTGGTTTTCCACGTTGTCCACATTGTTTATATTGTCTATATTATTAATATTGTCTCTAAAAATATAAAAATATTTTTCTTTGGGATTTTAACGTAATTGCCTTACATGTTGTTCAGTAATAATTTAGTAACAACGGTTGTTTGCAAATTCATAATGCAAGTGCCTTAAGCGCCTCAAGCGTCATGCGCTGCCTAAAGCTCCTTCCTCAAGGGCTTACCAAGGGATGATCTCTTTTAAGAGACCCAGTAAGGCTACTGCAGCCGCTCTAGGAAGGAATATTGTAAAATAATTAACCTACCATTCAAGTTATTGTATTATTCAGCCGTTAACTGAATAAAGATTTAAGTTTACATACTTCGTGTTCAATTCTTTTCCACTAAGCATCATTTAAAAAACAACTTTACAACTGTTATACGTTATACGTTAAATAAAGCCAATAAATCTACACGTTGTATAATAACAGCTGATGCAACTGAAGCCATTTAAAATCAAATTGAATGCTACGTTGCCAAAGTGCGAATAATCAAAACTTGAAAAGATATATTCTTTCTATAATTAAAATATTTTTGAAAAATTTAAAAGCTAATATAATATAATCTTATTATTTAAATAATATAAGAACTCTTGCTGGTTTATTGTATAATATTATTATGTCAGTTTGTAAATTTGTTTTTAGAACCCATGTCAAAGCTGTCTAAGAAAATATTCAGTGCATGAGAACTACGTTTTATCAATACCTATCCTTCGTATTAGACATTTTGGCATGTGTAAATAAAACCACAATTTTAAGCGCCGTGATTGGTCTATAATACACTCACAGGCAAAATAATCGATCCACACAAATTTTCGATGAATTTCAACCGCAAATAACTTTTTTATTTGATGTCGGATTTAAACGAATATTAAAGAATATTGTGGATAAATTAATGGAGAGTAGATGTACGTTTATAATATACAGGTTTAAACAAAAAGAAGTTTTTTATCATAAGTTTAAGAGTGGCTAAACCGTATATTGTTCTAAATTAAATTTTTTTTATGAAGTCACATCTATTCTTAAAAGTTTTGTTTTTGGTTCACCTCGATCTATTTATTTTTGTGGAAAAAGTGGATTTAAAAAAAAAAACAATTTCCTATATTTTTTTCTGTACAAAGAACTAAGGTTGCTATGGTCCATCCATAGGCTATGGAGTATGAGTGACAGTTTTGTTGAATCATCCCATACTTGGAAATGTCATATACGGCGAAAATTTGTGTGGATCGATTATTTTGCCTGTGAGTGTAAATCCTATTCAACTCAAAGCGTTATTCTTAAATGAAATGGTATATATATATATACGAGGTGTGTTCAGAAAATAACGGAAATTGTTAAATTTCGCGGGTTCGGAGGGTCCGGTTGTCATAAAAAAAATTTATTATGTTGGTATAGATGCCCCCGAAGTATGATAAAAACTTTAGCTGTTTTCATTGTTTACTTTGTCTGTGGCAGCCGCTAAGGTTATACGTGTTTTTATGAGCTCGGCGATTTTCGTTCGTTAAAAGAAATGTCTCAAAGAATTTGTATCCAATTTTGATTAAAAAATGAAATAAATTCTGTGAAATGTTAACAAAGGCCTATAGTGAGTCTGCTGTAAGTAAAACAAGAGTTCACAAGTGGTATAAGAGTTTCCAAGATGGCCGTGAAGACGTTGAAGATGACGAACGGCCCGAACGCCCAAGCACATTAACAACCGATAAAAACATGAAAAAAATGGAAGAAATGGTTTTAAACCATTAGAAAAATCGCTGATGATGTTGTTATATCGATTGGCTCATCCCATGAAATTTTTTCGAATATTTTGGGATGAAACGCGTGGCAGCAAAATTTTTGGCCAAAAACAATACTTTAATGATGTCCCAGCCTCCATATTCGCCAGACATGCCTCTGTCTGACTTTTTCCTATTCCCAAAAATATAGAGAACCTTAAAGCGCCGTCGTTTTGCAAGCATAAAGGACATTAAAAGCGCATCGCTGAAAGAACTAAAGGCTATCCCAAAGATCGAGTTTTAGAAGTGTTTCGAGTATTGGAAGAAGAGCTGGCACATGTGCATAATATCCAATTGGGACTATTTTGAAGGCGACAACATTAATGTAGACGAATAAATAAATATTTGTTTCAAAAAACGAAAATCCCCCGATATTTTCTGAACACACCTCGTATATCTATAAAAGTATAAAAATGGTAATTATGCATTTACATGTTTTTAATGCATTTTAAGAAAAACCCGTCACAAGAAATTAATTTATTACAATTTAATTTATTATTAAAGAGATTTCCCTATAGCCTATCATCTTAAGTGGAGATTTCAAAGTTAATTTTAGCCTAAAGGAAGTACATCCGTAGATTTTTTAAATCGTGAATTTAACTTAAAAATAAAAAACGATCGTAATATATCCACTACGAAATCTGGGAGTACAATAGATTCTATATATAAATTTAGACAGATTATAATAAAAAAGTGCATTTATACTTAAGTTATCATAAGTCTATTGTGTCGTACCTGCAGCGTGAATCTGACAGTACAGAATAATAAATAATTTAAAATAAATATTTAATAAATGGTGTATGCTCATTTAAAATTATTTTAACAAATTTAACCAATTTCCTAACTGCTTTCTTGGTATGCTGTGAATACTACTAGTTTCACATCAATAGCGTGTTTTACGATAGTACTAGCATTTTTTATTAAACTAAATATACTAATTTAAATTTAATTAAAAATTAAAAAAAAAATCATATCTTCAAAATATTTTTAGGCTGATTGCGATTGGACAATAGAAGCAATGGATGGTTACAGCGTAAAGATTTCATTCCTAACTTTCGATGTTGAAGATGAAAAAGATTGTGGCTATGATTACGTTGAAATATTTAATGGGATAGACTCCAGTGGTCTATCTTATGGAAAGTTTTGTGGTACATCTGTAAATATTATTTATTTAAAAAATTAAGCAATGAATTAAATATATTTTTTTTAGAAACCCCATGAAATTATATCATCTCAAGAAGGCCTCTTGATTCGTTTTAGAACAGACGATACTTTGGTCAGCAAGGGCTTCAGTATTGTATATGAAGCAGTAGAAACCCTAACAGAAGAGGAAATATAAAATTTAATTTGATTTAATTTTTGAACGAAATATAAAAAATTAACCTAACTCCTAGAATACATATAATAATATATGTGGAGGCCTGAAATAGAAAAAATGTGTTTAATTTATTGTTAAGATTGCAAAAATAGTAGGGAAAAAAACAATACAAGAAACAAATATAAATATAAATAATTGGAAATTAATAATAAATTGTGTGTTTATAATCGTTTTAGAGTATATGTAACACTAACCACAGTTTTCACTATTTTTAAGCACAAATTTTAACTAGTCTTAGATGTAAGGGAAAAATAAAAGCAGTTTTATTACAAATACAAAGGAACCATGTTTAATACATTTATTAAAGAATCGAATTATAATGAATTTAAATGTTTAATAATGTTTAATAAATTATTTTTTGTTGTGGTACATCATATAGGTATAGAAACAGGCTTAATTAAAATATATGAAATGTGGAATGAGAAAAATTTTCTGGTTTTTATTTTTTTAAGAAGTCTAATAGACAAAAACAAATTTACTTTATGGACCATCACTCTGTTGAGCTTTAACCCTTTTACTTTAAATAACTTTTTTGCTAAACAGTTTTGGTTATTATGGCGATTTTACCCTTTTCCGAATGCATTTAAGGTCTTTATAAAGAATAAAACCTAGTTTTAATAAAAACAATAATAATGTAATGTATTGTTTATAATTACGTGACATAATAAAAACAAAAGACTTACTACTGTAATACTTAATGATAACTTTTGGCAATCTCTGTAAACTTAGCAAGTAGTTACCTACTAAATGTGTATCGCTTAAATGCATTTTCTAGTTGTAGTATTTAATTTATTAACTGTATTTATTTGTGTATTACATAAAAGATACGTAAATAAAACATTCCATGTAATATATAAACTGAATTTATATTTGAATACAATATTTGTTTTAGTAACCAATTCCAAATACGTCAGTTTTCATAAAAGCACCTAAGACAAATATTTATATTAACCGCCTTCACAAAAGATAACGCTTTATCTGTTGTTTTTTGTTTTACATAAATTAAAATCATATCAGAATGAAATAGACTAGACAATGTAATTGGTTTAGATGTCAGGCGAATGTGTATCGGATATCCATTTATCGGTTCAAATAACTCGCTTTCATTATGAACCAGTTAAAATAATAATAGTTAGTGGATAGGAATTATGTCGGGTTACATTATGTTGCCTAGTTCCTTATCATTTATTGATAACCGGGTAAGTAATAAACAATATTTTCGTATATTTGGTAGTAAGAATTTGACATGTTTGGTTTTATACTTTTTTATTGATTGATTGATACCTTACAAGAATAATTATTTAATTTACTGTGCCTAACTTTAATCAACACATCCAAGGTTAGTAACTACTGCTTATAAATAATCATTAATAACCTTATTGAGATAAACCTTATTATAACAAAGAGTTTTTAACATCATATTTGTTGTTAACTTTTCATTTCAACATGTATTTAAAAAAATACGTGCCGGAAAGAGATTTCTTATCAAAAAAACAAGACAAGTAAATCATGTAGTGTTTTGTAAACATGTTCAATCAGTTATTGTCTTAAAAAACAGAACTTATTAAAGGCTTTATATAATTTATTTAATGTAGAAAAATGATACGCATAAAAATTTTGCCTTGAAAGGAAAACTAAAAAAGTTTTCCACAATTATAAAATTAAAATTCAAGCGATTAAATAAAATACCTAATTATTATACAATTATAATTTAGTAAACATTATTTTTGATGAGTAGTTTAAGTTTTTTAAAATCAAATACTCAACATAAGTTTTAATGATTTTAAGCAAGATATTTTAACAATATTAATATCAGCTGGCTAAATCAAAACCAGCATTAAAAAAAAATATTTATTCAATACTAAAAATAATCCTCCTTTCGTGCTATGCTATTCAACCATTTCGGGAAAACCGGTAGATACTCATTACTAATAAAACATTAAAATATGACTTTTAAACAATAGTCACACACATCAACGTATCATTTCTCAGGTGAAAGTACAAAGTAATATATAATTTGGAATTTTAATTTTAAAAAAGTATGAGAATGTTTTATCCGATACCTACCAAAATTTAAATATTTTGTATTTTTCAACCTATAAAATTGTGCAAAACTACTACTGAGCAGTGGCGGCTGGTGGATTTTGGCACACCCATATCTCAGTTATTAGACATGGGACCCACATCAAATTTCTATTAGTTTATAATGACATTATATAGACAAGTTCTGCGCAAGCAAGTTTGCGAAAAAAAGTTAGTTTTTAAGTGCAACCCCCAGCCTCCTGCCCCTCCAAATTAAGATAATTCAAATTAAAGTGGTACAATATTTAATTCACTGAAGTTTATCGACAAATTTCAAATTTTATTTAAAAAATTCAAGAATTACAGGTTTTATACCATTTATAATTTTTATTATTTCTTTTACTAAATTTTAAAAAAATTTGAAATGGTATAAAATCTGTAATACTTGAATTTTTTTAATAAAATTTGAAATTTGTCGATAAACTTTAGTGAATTAAATATTGTACCACTTTAATTTGAATTATCTTAATTTGGAGGGGCAATTTAAGATTAGTCACCACTATTTCTGAGAGTTAAAAGTAAATAATTTCTTTAATCGTTTGCGACCAACAACAAATTATTATTTGAATTAAATGCATATAGGCTCCATGGTTAAATTACCCATAAACACAAACAAAGTTGCAAAAGTTTAGCTCTAAACAGCCAAACAAATAATATATTCAACTTTAAAATATTATGAACAATATTTATTGACAAATAAAATTGATTTTTATAAGAGGGACTAATAGCCACATTGGTTATGACAACAGCTTGAGAAGCCACAGACCTGAGTTCAATCCCCGGCTGGGTTAAAACTTTTTTAAATTTATATCTAGTAATTTGACTATTGAGCCATTCCACGCGTAACGGATAGGATAGTTGCCGTGTTTTTATTTACAAAATAATATTGTTCTATTATATTACCAATGTCAAATTTTTATAAATAGTTCTAAACTAAAGCTGTTTAACAAGGTTTTTATTTGGCAAAATTAGGTATCGTGGTTGACTCTTTAATTCCTTAAAAACTAATAATTTAAAGCGTAACGGTCGGGACTTTGCAATAGTCCCGCCCGTTACGCTTTAAATTATTAATTTTTAAAGAACTAAACAGTCAATCACGATATCTAATTTTGCCAAATAAAAACCTTGTTAAACAGCTTTTGTTTAGAACTATTTATAAAAATTTGACATTGGTAATATAATAGAACAATATTATTTTGTAAATAAAAACACGGCAACTGTCCTATCCGTTAAGCGTGGAATGGCCCTATTTCATTCAGTAGAATTTGACTAATTACACTGTGATACAAAATTAAGGGTTGCGAAAGGGAATGAAATAAAACCAAAAGCAAATGAAAGTTAATAGTTTCCACAAGAAAACCCTATCAGGGTTTTTTTATATCACGTCTCAGTTATTTTTTGTACGCATTTAAAGATATTAAATTTTTTGACAACCCATAGTAGGAAAAAATTAAGTAAAACTATGTTAATTTTTCAAAATAATTTTGGCAATTTGATAGAGGAATTCATTTGTGATGTTAATTTTTACCAATTGTGTGACAGCCCCCCCTTCTGTAGATCTTAAGTAAAAACATAAAAAACGGATTCCTCGACTATATTGCTAGAATAATTTTGAAAAAATAAAATTGTTTTACTTAATTTTACTTACTTACTATAGGGTGTTTAAAAATCTACCAACTTTAAATGCGTATAATAAACAACTGAGATGTGATTTAAAAAAACCTAGTAGGGTTTTGTTGTAGAAGCTATTACCTTTCATTTGCATTTGGTTTCATGATGAAACCAAATAACACAGTTACTGCTTTTTCGCTATGACAATTAGTCAAATATGACTTATAATTAGGTAGTTATTTATATTATAATAATAAAATAATGGTTAAAAGATTTATCGTGAGTACAAATGCAAAGAGTTAAAATAAATAAATAGGTACCTACCTTAATACCGAGATGATACAACTGAGTTCAATAAACAATAAAATACATATCAGTTAAATAAAAATTTATACAAAGTTATACAAAAAGAAACAACAAAACAGTGTAAGTCAAAATAAAGACAATACAAAATTTTAAAATTTAAGATAAATGTAATTCAGTGGATGCGACAATATAATGCTTAAGATTGGAACTCAGTGTATGCGCGTCTCCAAGGTTTTAAACCTAAATAATGAAATAGTGATACAATAATAGTATGTATATTAAAGAACTAATGTCATAAGACGTCATTTTGTCGACGAAGGAGCGAGTTTTGTAATGGACGAGTGCGACAAAAAGGTCTTATGACATGAGTTCTTTATGCTATTGTATCTATTTTATATTTTATAAAAAAATTTAATTTTATACCTTTTATATTTAATTTGGTCGAATTTTACTTAAACATATTTAAATGTTTATATAGATAGTTGGTATCAAAGTCATTGGTTTAAAGGGTTAATGTCAAAATCTATTCGCCATGGCGTCCTTAATTCACTTATTTACAATAAGCGGTTGTTAATGTTAAAGAAGAAAAAACGATTTTCTTTGGTGTTAAACAAAATTTATTGCCAGAAAAGTCTCGTAAGTACCAGAAAAATCATAAAAATATTATAACCAATATGCAAAATATTATTTTACTAGTATGCTGTTTAAAGTAGCCGACCTATAAAATCCAAATTTTAGGTGGGGTAAAGTACCTCATTAGAGCACCGAAAGCGGTGTAACAATGAAGTTATTATGAACGCAAAATAGATAAAACTTATTACCAAAAATCACTCGCTATTTACACGTATTTAAATGATTGGGTCCCAATAAACTAGCAATCACAATAATTATACTTATATTATAATATAATTTCACAAACTTTTTAACATGCGTATCTTATGACGGTGTAGAACTTTCTGCCCTTCTTCTATTTCCTAATATATCTTTTAACTTCTCGGCAAGAATCTCAGACATAAATCAATCCCACTAATTTTTCTACGTTCCAATACGAAGAAGGGAAATTTTAAAACTTAATACTATTTTAAAACATAAAACCATAATATTATTTTTAGTAGATTATTTAAATTTTTCTTGGTTAAAATAGCGCCAAATTTGAATTTAAAAGTTTATGTACCACAGGACCCTTACAATATATTTTTAAAGTTGACCGGGGGCCCCAATTTAGCTTGTTTTTTTTTAATCGAATTATCTATTTTTGAAAAAGTTAATTAATTAACTCATAAAACATTCTGGCTAAAAAAAAACAAATATTTAAACCGTTTTCCACCTCCGTCTGATGCACCATGGTTTGGGGAGGTGGAGAGAATTTAAAAAATTTAAAAAAAAATTTACCAAAATGTTTATTTTTACCATACACAAGTATTTATCACCACCCTAATACCCCTACGATATTTAATAACAGCAGGAAAGATTCGTATATACAGGGTGTTATGTAATTAATGTAATATATTAAAATACTGAATACCTTTTAACATAAGGTGTAACGGAAAAATTAAAAAAAAATATTTTCCCAAAGATAAAGAAAAAATATGCATTAGAAGTTTTTTATATTTTTTGTGATATGCGGATTCCCTGAGAGGAAATATACCGCTTGAGCTGGGTGGAATACACGGAAAAAAATCCCTTACTAGGTTTAAGAATAGTTCTATACTTCATGTTAGGAACTTGATTTAAGTATATTTATTATTTCTATGAGATTAGCGTACATTTAAACTAAGTAATGGGATATACTTAACTTTTAAGAAAAACTGTTACTTGATTTGAGATGAGTATTCTTGGATTGAGTTTAAAGGTATTTTATTTTAAAGAAAATTGGTATACTTAAATCAAATATACATTAATACTTAGATGAAAGACCTCTAGTTATTTACTCAAAGCGGAATATTGCCACTTGATTTAAGTATTCTGTATATTTGTATGAAATTTCGGTATACTTTATTTAAATATATGTATATTTAATACAAGAACGCTTATACTTCAATTTAAGTATAAGACTAGAACAAAGAATACACTATACTGTATTTAAGTATAGCTATTATTAAAACAAATACCTTATTCTTCGCTTAAGTAAATACCGTCCACCCTCTAAGACCGCGTCGCTAAAAGAAAAGACGCAGTTTCTGTGTTCAGTTCTGTCCTG